CGGCTGGGGGCCCTGGGCGACGCGGCCGGCGGCCGCTGGGGCGAGCGGCGGGCTGTCTCCCGGTTGCCCCCCGTTAGCTTCCATATCGTTTCTCCGTAGCAAGACCAAGGCGAAAAGGAGAACCCCATGCGGGAGCTGCGCATCCGCAAGCTCTGCCTCAACATTTGCGTTGGGGAGAGCGGGGACAGGCTCACCCGAGCGGCCAAAGTGCTGGAGCAGCTGACGGGCCAGACCCCCGTCTTCTCCAAAGGTGAGGAGCGGGTTTTCCTGCCGGCCGCCGAGGGGGGCTGCAGAGCAGCGCTTTGTTTTCTGCCTTCAGCAAGTGGTTGTTTTCCTTCCTCCTGGGAGCATGCGGAGGGTGAAGCGGCAGTGTGGCTGCCGGGGAAGAGGCTCCTTGGCAGAGCCGGTGTGGGGAGATCTGCTCTGGTGTGGGCCTTGCTGTGAGAATCGGGGGCCTGAAATACTCAGGTGCTGGTGCTTGTTTCTGTAACTTGAGTTCTGCCTCCAGACTCAGGCTGCTGCTCTGCCCTCATCCCCAAAGAGGGAACGTGCGGTTATCTTCATCCTTGTCTTCTTTCCTTTAAAGTAGTTTTTTCAGTCGTCTTAAGCAAGTCCTGAATCCCCTGCGCGGGAATTCTTTGAATAGCCTGTAAGTGTAATTATTGCTGCCTACAGCACGATACACCGTAAGATCCTTTGGCATCAGGAGAAATGAGAAGATTGCTGTTCATTGCACGGTTCGCGGGGCCAAAGCAGAGGAGATTCTGGAGAAGGGGTTGAAGGTGAGAATTTGGCTGATCTGGATGTTTGATTTGTGAAAGAACAAAGCTTAACCTGTACCAGCTGAGAAGATGTGTGCTTTGAAACGTTGCCTGTGATCTAGTTACAGGTTGGACGTGGGTGTTAAGGGTTGGGGTAGCAGCACTGATGCACAGGCTGCTGTGTTTGCACTGTTGCGCTGCCTGGTTGCTGCTTCAGCCTTCTTTAAGAGCTAGCGAGTGCCAGTTGCTGCTTTCTCTTGAATTTCTGTCTTTACTGCTGTGATTTATGAGCAGACTGGGAGCAAAATCTTGGGGCTAAAGGCTTAGTGTGTAAGTGAGTTGTGGGTCTGCTAGCAGTTGGAATAAACAGGACTTCTTATGCTGTTTGCAGTTAATAACAAAATAGTGACTGTCAACAAATGTTTCAGGTGCGAGAATACGAGTTGAGGAAAAACAATTTCTCAGACACTGGGAACTTTGGCTTTGGAATCCAGGAGCACATCGATCTGGGGATTAAATACGATCCCAGTATTGGTATCTACGGCTTGGACTTTTATGTGGTGCGTATTCCCCGCTTCCCTGCAGCTACTGGGCTTGTGTGAAAGGAACCTAGAATGATAACTGGCTGACGTGAATTTCCTGGCAAGTGCTGGAAGATAGAAAAAATGTCAACAAAACCCAAGTCTGAACTGAGATTCCCAGGGCTGCCGTAAAATCCCTGATTTATGACATGTCTCTCAAAGCCTCTTCAGAAACAAAAACTGTTGCTCTTACTGGTACTCCTGGGATAACGCTCAAACAGTTGTGCTGTGTTTAGGGGAGGTAGGAGCAGCAGGGGCTTCAGGACTGCGGGCTCAAAGATGGGCTGCATTGCTGGAAGATTCTCCCTGTGTGTAGAGGGTTAGGGACGGGTCGTGGAGCAGTGGTGGCGACTGGCGTGTTTGAGTCGTTCCATTCTGCCAAGCCTCACTAAATCTCCGAAACAGAGGGAAGCTGTTCCACACGTGTTAGCAAATGCTGTTTGGTGTATCTTTTCTCGAGGGCTGAGGCCTCTGGGTATGGAATAGTGAATCTTCCACACTCATTTTGCTTTCCCTGAGTCTGTAAGTGCCAAGTTGTCCAGCCTAGGAGCTGTCCCTGTCAGCTTACCTGTCTGCTTAGAATTACTTTTCAGTTTACAATGAGGCTGTAGAGGATAACGCTCTTGGTGTTGAACATGACTCGGACAATGAGACGTTACTGATGTCGAAATTCTAGCCTTCCCTCCTAGAAAACTGTTAAAAAAATAAATAAATGCCAGAATGAAATAGTGCTGTTGGTCGTCTCTCCTGGCAGGTGCTGGGCAGGCCTGGTTTCAGCATTGCTGACAAGAAACGCAGGACTGGCAACATCGGAGCCAAACACAGAATTGGGAAGGAAGAAGCCATGCGCTGGTTTCAGCAAAAGGTAAAGTCCCTCTTTATTTTTGTATCCCAAGAGTTTCCTAGCAAGTATTGGCAAAATGCTTCACTGCGGAAGGACTGGAACAACTCACTGGGCAGGAGGAGATCTTGATCTTGCTTAAATCATTGATTCTTACTGCTTTGGGGCAGTAGAAGCTGTGTTTGAGCATGAGTGCTGTTCATGCTGCCTTTTCTTTTTTTGCGTGTGCTGAGCTGAAAGAGAAGCTCTTGCAGGATAGCTGGAAGTATCAGCTCTTGTGTAAATCTGTCTGCCACAGTTTTTGGGGGCATTCTGTGTACATGGATCACAAGTGATTGAGGCAGGGTTAGGATTTGTTTATCTGCCACAGCTCCTAGCTCAGCTGCCACGCTTGAAGGATTGTGTGATCCAAATAAAACAAATTCTTGGTTTATCTGTCTGTAGCTGACACAGACTGAATAATGAATGGGAGGTGCCGAAAGTGTGATTGGAAATGCTCAGAGATGGGGACTGCTGATACTTTTTCAGAGGTGGAAAGGGCAGGCAGTCTGCCTGGAGGCTCCTTACTGGTTACTCTGCCTAGTTCTGCACCGGCCCTACTCTGCACAGGGTGGGCTCCAGCCTGCTCCTCCTGGATGGTGCTTTTCCTCCCTCATGCCTAGTTCTGTTTACTGTGGCATAGTTACCTTCAGGGGCCACGTCCTGGGACTCTAAGAGAGTCTAGTTCTGGTCAAATGGAGCTGTGAAGGGTGGGGCTTCTTGGTTTGCTGGGCTGATGAGCGGAGTTTAATGCTTATCTGAACAAAGTCAGGCTTGGAAGTTAACAGCAGAGCAGCAAGGCAGAAAGGCAGTTAGCTGCTCACCTGGGAGCACTGGTGTTCCATGTCGGTGTTGTCTGGCTGGCTTGGAATGAACGTGGTGGCTCAGTTTTCACTACAGTGGTACTGCACCTTTACCTGACAGTGCTTTCTCACTTGGTTCCTTCTCTTTTTATTTCTCACAGTATGATGGCATCATCCTTCCTGGTAAATGAGCAGTTCCTGTTACCAAAAAAAGCAAATAAAATTTTCTAACCCCTAACTTCTGTTGTGAATTTTGTGGGGGCTCCTCCTGACCTGGGAAGCTGCTGGGAGCAAGGGTCACTCACACTGAAAAGGCAGCAGAAAGACATGGACTGATGCTGTGCACTTGAGGACAACGTGGTGGTCTTGAGGAGCGGGTGTTGGATTTAGGTGGATACAGTCGCTGCTTCTGTACTGCACAAATAAAGTGTAGAACTTTTACTAGAGTCCGCAAGTGGGCACAGAAAGGAGGAAAAAAACCCAATGCTTTGTGACCACTGCAGTTGTAGAGCATAGTTTCTGGAGGGTTAAATTCCTGAGGGGAACAAAGTTGATGTGCTGATTCTCACCCTCCACAGACCAACCTGGGAGTCCTAAGGGCAGCCTGCTCTTCAGTGAGCAAGGGGTTCTGAATTAGCAGAAGAAACTCTGTCGCTCTAGGAGCTATTGGGAGTGCAAGTTCAATGGGAAGCCAAAGGGAATGGTGCACATATCCTCTTAAAGCAGAGCTGTAAAGCCAAAATGTGGCTGAGGGTTTTTTGTCTAAGCAAGCGTGACAGGACTGGTAGGAAGGGGCTTGGCAAGGCCTGTGGTGGGGACTGGTGCGGCTCCTGAGCTGAGATTTAAACCTGGTGTCGTGAGGGAGAGCTGAGATCAGCTGCAGAAACCCCTGACCTGGGCTGCTTCTGTGGGTAGTGTGAGTGACCTCAAGTGCCTGTACCTGCAGCTGGTAGAGTTGTTTTTACCCTGCAGATTGTGGTGCTCTAAATGTGCTGTAGAAATCCTGAAGCAACTCCTGGATGGGCTTGGAACACAGAGGATGAATCTTGAGTGGTCTCTTAAAATGTTTCAGGAGTGTGAACTTAACACTGCTGTAATTACACAGCCAGAGAGTTTTCACCTGCAAAGGAATGGCCTTTATTGTTTAAACAGAAAATTCCCTGCAGGACAATACAGCTCACACAAGTGGCATTCAGCAACACCCTTGCCTCTGCCTGCCTCTGGTGTTCAGTCCTCTCTTGCATCTCACAGTAAACAAACTCACTTCCATGCAAGTCCGCACACACTCCACTGTCAGTGATTGCGCAGCGTTCTCTGAAAGACTTTGACCGTTCACTTGTCAAGCCTGTCTGGAGTTGTAAATGAGGGGAGGTTGCCAGTGCTGTTCAGGATGGAGTCCACTCCAAAATACACAGGGCAGCGTGTGCGGTGCATGCTGACATGCACGGGGGAAAGTAGAATTTGAACAGAAATGATGTTCTGCCTTGGTATAGCTTTATGCTTGATGCTTGGTTTGAGATCCTCTCACGTTCTTGTGCCCAATAGCAATGCTGCTGTTGTTTTTGAAGTGTCTCGCAATACTACTACGGTGGAATTTCTCCTGTGTTTTTCTAGGGTTTTTTTTTTAATTTTTGTCCCATTTTTTTCCAATCCACGCTGCGATACAGTGCGCTGAGGAGAAAAGCTCTTCTGTCCTGCTTGTTTCTGTGTCTGTCCTGCTTGAGCAATCCCCGCTTGAGCTTTGGGATGGAGATGCAGGCAGCTCAGAAGACACTTTCCTAGAGCCCAAAAGTTGCCATGATGGAACAAGTGTTTGAGACTTTGCAGCAACTCCAAACATCAGTGTGCCTCCCCATCCAGCTATCCGACACTTCTCAGCTCTGTCTCCTTCCCTAGCTGCTGGCACAAGCCACGTGGCACCCAAGGCTCTTTATGTGCTGGCTGCTGCCGAGGCCACAGAGCTGGCCCGGGACCTGGAGCTCAGGGAGCGTGGGAGGATGATAGTGCAGCACGAGACACCCACGGTGGCCTCGGGGAGGTCCTCATCCTCGGCCCACTCATTGAGGTCAGGATTGTAGCACTGCACACGTTTCTGATACCTCTTCCCGCTCTCGTTCCAGCCACCCACCAGGCACAAGCGCCCTTCCAGCAGAGCCACCCCGGCCGTGCTGACCCCCGTGGGCAGGGGTGCCACATAACTCCACTGCCCTGTGAGTGGGCTGTAGCACTCCACGGGCATCACGTCCACCCGCTCGCCCTGGGGACCCAGCTGGCTCCCACCCAGGACATACGCTCGGTCGGCCACAGTGGCTGCACAGTGCCAGCCCCGGGGGCTGCTGAGCCTTGCCTGCTCCCTCCAGGCGTCGGCACTGGGCTCATAGCAGCACACGGTACGGGAATAGGCGTGGCTGGTGTAGACGCCAGGGACCAGGGGCCTGCCCTCGA